TATTTGGTTTCGATCCTTTGGTTAGAAAGATCGAACGAGACGAGCGTGTCATAATTGGAAGTTGAAAACGTGATTCTGTTCGATCCGATCCGAAAGGAAATTCGCCCCTTCGAATTTCCCAACGATTTCTTCACGTAATTTCGGATCTCGGTGCATATATTTCGGATTATCGTTACCTAACGGAGAGGAAACGGGAGCCTGTTTCCGAGGATTGACCAAACGTAGCTCGCGGTTCGCAGCGAGATTTATTTCACTGGCTTCCGCCTGTTCGCGAATCACGTGTCGTAACCGTATTTAAAACCATAAGTCGTTATCGAGTTGTGTGGTTTCGCGTGACGAGTTTGCTTCATCCGCCAGTATAGCAAAACTTTGCTGCTCGTTTCTAATTGCACGTTTAGGTTTCCTCTCGATCGCTCTTCGTTTGCAATCGAGTCGATTCGCTTTATTCACGCGAGGCACGATCATCTTCGAAGTCTCGAAGGAGAGAGACGGAAGGACCGAGGAGAGAATGTGCTTGTGTTGCACAATCTATCTACATACGCGCTCGTATGACGATTCAACCAACTGTCCGAACGATCGCGTTCGAATGTTGTGTCGTAAATCTCACCGATTGATCTTCCGATCTGTCTGAATGTTTGTACTCGCCGAACAATTGCTCGTTTTTCACGCATTTTAACGCACGTTAAACCTCTCAGCTGTGAATGAGTATAAACGAAGAAACAATGATATTTTGTGTATACTCGTCCTGCGAGAAAAAAAGATTAAATTCCATTTTTTGGAGAATAAAACGTATTCGTTAAAATTCTAGAGACACTTTGAGACATATTTCCAAATATTTTCTTTCAGTTGCTTTTAATCATTGCAGATGAATATTAATTATTGATCAGTTAAACGATGAAATTATTGACTTTTCAAAAAAGAAACTAGCGTTTATTCAGTTCAACTCAATTTCACAGCATATCGTACGTGGCTGACGAGTACAATCGTTCCAGCGACACTTTTAAAAGCTAAGAAGTTAGTCGTATATTCACATTCACGTAGACAAAATGTACGTGAGACTTACATTCGTTTGTGAAGAGGGCCAACGATGACCAAAACGAGGAATTTGCGCAGACACCGAACTCGTCGATTTACAGCCGATCTCTCGAAACTACACACACATATATATATATATATATATATCTGCTTGCGACGTAGCTTGGCTTCTGACAGACGGATCGTGTCCAATGAAAAGGAAGTGCCTACTCGTCCTCGCCATGTCTTCGGCTATTTGTCACATGATCGGCGGTTAACGCCGATTCTAACCGGATCTCGCCGATAAGTCGA